TTGTTTCTGACTATTTACAAAACTGTACAAAACAATTCCCATTTGCTCATCGATCATCATATCATTTTTGGTTTTGTACAGTTTTGTACATAGTCAGAAACAAATTGTTAGATTCACTGTCATTTTCCCCAACGAGAAACGTTTGCTTTTCGTTTGTGACACGTTTCAATTACGTGAAAAATATTTTTTTCTGTAAATTTTCATATCCAATTCAATTAAAAAACATTTTTATTTTTTTTATTCACTGCAGCCATAAGTTTTGTATTTAGTTATTGCATATATGTACATACATACATATATTTTTCTCTGCACGATTCATTTCGTTTCTTGTTTCGTCTGTAACTACTAAACTACTGTAGTGTACTATCGCCAAAGTGAACTCAGCCGTTTGGTTTTCGTATTGTACCGAACCGTTGAGGTAATAAACGAAACGAAATAGTAACGTACAATATAGTTTATTTTCGTACCCTGATTACAATATGGGTATCAAATTAAAAAGGTTTGAGAAAGATAACTGTTGGAAATATTTTTGAGGGGGCTGCCACCTATTTGGAAATTGTAACTCAGTTAAATTGATAAAGTAAATGCAATCTTGACATGTGGGTGTCAAACTAAAGAGTTTTAAAAAGGCTTACAGTCTACCATGAACACTTCCAGAAATATGCAATATGAAAAGTTCGGTTTATATGGGAGGTGCCACACGCCATTCTCCAACCATGCAAATTTTTCTCCATGAGTATGGAATTGGTCTTATATATGTATATAGATATCACCATACCCAGTTCTAGTCCTCTACAACAAATATATGCAGTTTGAAAAATTCGGTTTGTATGGGAGGTGCCACGCCCCCTTTCTATATCGAAACTTTTTTTAGCTATAACCATCCTTGGAAAGCCTGCAGTAGATTCCGAAATTTCAAAAAAATCGGTACGGCCTTTCTCGAGCTTTGCGAACAGAAAAAAACGCCTTTCAAAATATATATTAGTATAGACTAGCCAAACTCTGCTTGTTTTGCAAGTTAAAACACTACTACCGATGAAAATCGATGGATAAATAAACAAGTTTGCAAGGGTTAAGTGAAAGTGCAATAATTTTTTGTATGAAATACTAGCAGGAAATTTAACAAAGCTATTGCAATTCAACAGTAAAAAATTCTTTTTTTATAAATTTTTCGATTACTTTTTAAATTACTTTGAGGAATGGAATTGGAAAAAAAATCAATTACATTTTCAATTCCTTTCAAAGGAATTGGAAAAAAATTACATTTTCAATTCCTTTCAAAGGAATTGAAATAAAAGAAATTACATTACTAGCACGTAATTTATTCCAATTACAATATGAAATTCCTTGTAATGGAATTAAAGAAAAAAACAATTCCATTTGAAATTACTTCAAGGAATTGAAAAAGTAATCGATTCCTTTGCAGTGAACTAAAGGAATTGAATCCTAATTACAATTACTGAGGAATGTAATTGTAATTGTAATGTAATTGCATTTACCCAACTCTGCTTACTTACCACACAATAAAAATTAAATTAATTGCTTTTTGGGAAAAAATTGTTTTGAAAATTGGTAATTGTGAAGAAATATCTTTTTTTGGAAAAAATATTTGTTTTGAGAAAAATAAAAATTTTAATTTACTAAATATGTAAGTAATAGGCATTCGAAAACAATTTTTTTAAGGCAAAAAAATAATATTTTAACAAAAAATTATATAGATAAAATGATAACTTTAGCAAAAACTTGAAAAATTATTTTTTGGGCGGAATTACCTTTCTGGAAACAAAAATAATAATAATTTAGTTTAATTAAGTTTTGTTGCGGCGAATTGCGTATGAAACTCGTCTTTGTTCCAAATTAAAAGCGTTTGATAAGATTAAATTCAATTGTCTTTATTCACTAACAATAGCGCTAAATTTGTACAATAATTATTGCGGGTAAAGCGTTAGATAAAAACTACGAAATATTATGCGGGTGAACTTCGCGGAGATTGCGGAAAAACGATGCTTAGCGAGCGGGTATTAAACGAGTGAGTATAAATGTGCAAAAATGTACAAACCAAAAAGGGCATAACAAAAAGAACGTCAAAGTCGTTATCCCGTATGCGCTTACATTGCTGACATTAACCATTATGTGATCATACAACTAATAAACTTAAGAAAATGCATACATGAACTCAACAAGTTTTATTTAATTTAATTTAAGAAAAATTTTAGTTTTTTAGAGAGATTAAAAAAAAATTTAGTAAGTTTTTCTTTTCAGAGAAAAAGTTAATTAAGTGAGAGAGAGATTTTTAAATAAAATAAATTTTTGAGAAACAATATATTTATTACCAAAATTAAAAAAAA